ACCCCCACCCCCTCTAGTCGTCTTTCACACAGGGCTGCCGACAGATTCTACAATGTAAATTGCAGAATCTGTCTTGAGAGATTAGCTAAATGCTAACTTGGCACCATCAGGGCTTCCACCTCTGGAGCTGAAGCAAAGAGAACTGATTGTGTAGACAAGGTGGGTGAGTCATGTAGCTAGTGGGTGGTTCATGTAGCTGCTCCAGCTGTAGCCATACCTACTAGTTATAGTTTGCAAGGCTGGTGTAGAAATGCATGCCAAATAGAAAAGCAATCATGTCTGGTCGGAAGGAGAAACACACCTACTTTTAAACATTATGAAAGACTTGGATATCAACAGTTTGTTGGATACGTGCAAATATCGCAATACCGACCTTTACAAGAAGGTAACTTAAGGAATGAAAGAGGGAGGCTGTGTTCATACGGTCCAACAAGTCCGCCACCACTGAGAAAACTTAACTAAACTTGTTTCGATGCAAATAAGCAAAATGACAACCAGAACATGTGAGCGGAGTGGACCGGGTGAAAATTTCCACTCCTCGCTCGCAGACCTGTCACTTTGCGCTGCTCATCTGCTCCGCTTGGTTCTGTGCATTCTTCGCTCCGGTCCGGTCCACTCCATTATAAATTTAAAACTGCGTCGTACTACCCTAACCTGTAATCTTCTATTCACAAATAAAACATGAGCTTGGTAGATTCTCCGGGGAAGCCCTCTCCCCTCTCCCTGCAGTTAGGGGCCGTACTCCATGGTACCGCTGTAGGCAGGGTGGAAATAAGTCAAAGTGTGGAGGAGATGGACCGGGTTAAGCGGCCAACCTCCGGGGAAGCCCTCTCGCCTCTCCTCGCAGTTAGGGACCGTTCTCCAAGGTACTGCTGCTTCTCTTCTCAGTCTTATTTCTGAAGTACACAGTAAACTCCATAGTTTTGAAAGAAAATAGTGTGGGTGTGCGCAGGTGCAAAGATGCATTCTGGGTGGGGCATGAGCGACTGGAGCGAAATTGGAGCAAGAGTTAAGGCTCCGCTCCACCTTTTAAAAAAAATAGCCGCTCCTCGCTCAACACAAAATCCTTCCGCTCCCTGCTCAGCTCCGCTCACATGCTCTGATGACAACCTGCTCCATGCATTCCACTGTTCTATATTTCGTATCAGTAAATGACATGTAAGGGCTCATTAATCATCATATGCAATATTGATTTTCATTAGCCATATAAACAGCTTAGTAAGAATGTTGTCCTTTTCAGAATAAGGGCAAAAACTGAAATACTTTGTGCACGTAATAATAGTGAGCGTGTGTTAACCTCTTACCTTCCAGTTTGGGTAAAGGTTCAGTACAAGTGCCGCTTGGATTTAAACAGGTCTTGTAGCAAGGTTTGTGGCAAGGATGGTAGTGCCACTTGCATTCACCTGGGCCGTTGTAGTAATCACAAAAGACAGCTAGACAGAAAAGACACAGAGTATATTATGTTTTAAATACAGGAAGTGTTGATGTGTCATTTAGCAAAAGAGACCTCAAACTTAAACTTAACCTGATACAATCTTGTATTACACAACTACAATTCCAATAAGAATGCTTTGCAAATTCTTTTCCATGTATATTCAGTTTAATACAGAACAAAGACTAGATATTTAATGTTCCAACTGATAACCTTTAGTGTTTTTTTGTAAATATACACTCATTTGATATCTACAACATCTTGCAAAAAAGTTGGGACAGGGGCAACAACACTGGGGAAAATGTGAAATACTCATTTTGCAGGTAAACAGGTCAACAGTTAACAGGTGATAGTGTTATTATTGGGTATAAAAGGGACATCCTCAAAAGGATACGCAGTCAAGCATGGAACAAGGTTAACCACTGTGTGGGCAAATAGTCCAACAGTCTACAAACTACGTCTCTCAAAGCATAACTGCAAAGAATTAAGGGATTTCACCATCTACAATCCATAATGTCATCAAAAGATTTAGAGAATCTGGAGAAATCTCTCTATGTAAGGGGCAAAGCTGACCGTGACCTTTGACCCCTCAGACTGCACTCCATTAAAAACTGACATGACTGTATAAAGAATATTACTACATGGGCTCAGGAACACTTTGGAAAACTATTGTATGTAAAGACAGTTGGCTGCTGAATCAACAAATCCAAGTTCAGACCCCACCATGCAAAGTTAAAGCCATATATCAGCAACATACAGAAATGCCGCTGACTTCTCTGGGCCTGAGCTCACCTGAGATAGACTGAGACAAAGTGGAAAAGTGTGCTGTGGTCGAACAAGCCCACATTTCAAATTGTTTTTTAGATCACATACATCATGTCCTCTGGGTTAAAGAGGAAAAGGACCATCCAGATTGTCATCAGTGCAAAGTTCAAAAGCCAGCATCTGAGATGGTATGGGGGTGTGTTAAGTTACACATCTGTGAAGGCACCATGACTGCTGAAAGGTACATACAGGATTTGGAGCAACATATGCTGCCACCAAGAAGCCGTCTTTTTCAGGAACGTCCCTGCTTATTCCAGCAAGACAATGCCGAGCCACATTCTGCACGTGTGACAACAGTGTGTCTTTGCAGTAAAAGAGTGCAGGTACCAGACTGGCCTGCCTGCAGTCCAGAACTCTCTCATTGAACGTGTGGCACATTATGAAGCCCAAAACACAACAACAGACATCTCGGACTGTTGAGCAACTGAAGTGATATATCAAGTAACAATGGGAAAGAATTTCACTTTTAAAACTTCAACAATTAGTGTCCTTAGTTCCNTTGATATTTTCACAGTATTTATACGTCACCTATATATTAAAAAACACATGGGAATCTGACTTTGGATTGTATGGGACCTTTGATATATTGTACATTATTACCATTATTGTCTTAAAGCTTTGTAAGTGTTGTAAGAAAATGATCCGCAAAGACAGTGAGACTACAGATTTAAAAAAAATAATAATGATAATTGGTAAACTACTTCATATCAAAACTCTAACTCAAACTCTTGCCATAACATATTTCAGTCATCTTCATTAAAACAATTATGGTGACTCACTTTGTGCTCTGGTTCCAGGATGATGCGAACAGTAGTTTTGCCATCCCACATCACTGCCAGACCAATGCCAGATTCTATCACCCAATACATGCCAACCTTCCTTATTCGGTACTGAATCTAAGTGACACGTCCCAGTTCCACCTCTTCATATGTGCCCTTTGAAAGTTTGATTTCCATTTGCTGTAATGATAAGGAGATTTTTGTTGCTTTTATTGAAATGTAAAAACTGCAGTTTCACATGTGACATGATTTACTTGAGTATGTTCAATAATTTAGGCACAAAATACATATCAGGTGTTGGTATGAGGTCTTACCCCTAATTGGATTCGGACAGTTTTGGAGCATGTGGTGCCTGTAGTTCCACATGGTACATTTTCTGTGATAACTCCAAAGTGCTGCTGTACTGTTTTATCGCCACAATTGCTCTAAAAAGAGAGATTCATTCAACATTTTTCATGCTTTCTGATCAGATCTACCTTCAGCTTGGCCTTTACTACTTCACAATACTTAAAGATTGTTAAAGAAAAGCTAGAACATGAAATAAATGTGTTTTTGATTCCCAGAGGAGTGAGACCATATAGTTATCTGCATCATTAAGACAAGCAGTCATCTTAAAGGGAATGTCGGTAAACATACTAAATATTTCAGCTTGGATGGTTAAAATTAGCAATACTTCATAATTTCATAAATGGCATATCTGTGACATTCTGAGATGATACCTTCTAGAACATTATACATTAAAGCATAACTCTTTGGCTTTGTCTGGAATCACTCCCAATTTAACTCCACAGCAGAGGTGTGGACTTGAGTCACATGACTTGGACTGAAATATGAGAGAAGAAGGGAGTGATTTGGACACAGCCTGTCATTTGAATGATTTTAACATGCTTTGTTACCTTAACAGCAACATAGGCACACTCTCCATGAAACCAATATATCTGCTCATCAAATGTACAGTAGTGACCACTCCCATACATAGTGCAGGTTCCTGGACAGTCTTTTTTAGTGCACCCCCAGCTTCCACTGTTGCAGGTGCTAGATCAGAAATGGTTGAATACAAATGTGTTTTGAATACCGCAACCAAGTAAAACATAGAGGCAAATATGATAATTTTCATATTACATTATAGGTCTGATTAAAAACACGATCATACCACTTGTTGCACTGTTTAGAGATTTGTGAT